TAAAATTTTGGTTTCCGTTTGATTAAAACTGCAAAAAGAACCGGAGAAACTGCCGAAGAAGCCATTAACAAGTATTCCCTCTCTTCCCCCTTGAAATGAGGGGCGCGTCGGACGAGTTGTCTGAACTTGCTTGCTCCATGGCTCCACTAACCCGCGCGTATTTGAATTAGCCGCTACGTCGTAATCCACGTTGCGTGTCATGGGTGTGCGCGAGGTATCTCGTCCATTAGCTCACTAGCGTCGTCAGCTCACTTTGTAAGGCCCTAGCGCCACTGTCAGCGACAACGGCTCTGTGACAAACGTGAGCTACTTTACCTCATCCACCGAATAGATCTTCGACACGAGCTAATCTAGCCTCAAGAAGGAGGAACTATTGCGGCAACCTGACACCCGTACCGACCGTTGCATGATTGTTGAATCTCAGCACTCCACAATACTCGTTTGCACAAACTTATTTTTAAGAGAAGCCCGTACGATACCTTGGCTGGTTCTAATCAGTCAATGCTCACTTTTTGGCATGGCCCCGAAATGGATCTAACTTCAGTTCACACAACTCCGGCAATGTTCAAATATTTATTTGTACTTGTTATAGACTTGGAAAATCCAATTACACAGACAAAGGTAATGGGTAGACCCCATTAACCCGAGGTGAACCAGCGTTCAGTTATCCGTCAAGTTCGCTAGGCGTCATGTAGGCTGTGCAGTTCTTGCTGTTCTTCGCGGTGGGGAATAGTGGACAATCCTGAAATCAGAGCTTAGTTTTAAAGAACAGTTCGTGGTCAATTTCTACTGTAAAGCACCTTGGAAGGACACTGTAATGGGGCGTTGACATCACTTAGATCCACAGAAGTTGCCTTGGCTCCAACCGGTTGAACAAGGTTGTTCCAGAGATGTTTGGCAAAGTTGCTGTGGCCATATTTTGAGAAGTGGAAACAGTCCGGGGCAAAAAATTGTAGATTTGCTTTGCCACTGCTCTTGAAATTAGAACCGATTAATTGATTTTCTGCAAGCATTATTTTTAACTGGGAGATTACTATCATAATGAAGAGCGTAGATGTGGTATGGTTCTGTTTTGAGTAAAATCTCTATTCAGTAGGTCTGCCGGAGTAATTCTAGGACGTTATATGGGTCCTACCGTCAATGGCGGGTGATTGATTCCTTTCGCGAAAGGTTGAAGGACGAGAGCAAAATCATCAGATGAGTCGAAAAGGCCTTCGTCTATGATTTCTTGTTGCACTGTCTGGAAACCATGAGAATTCAAACGAAAAATGGTTTTTTATAGTTTGTGAATTCTGAGTCAATCAAATAAACAAGAAAACAATGAGCTAAAGAAAAATTAAGCCTCTGCAGCAGGAAAGGTTCTGAAAGAGAATGGAAGTCATTTGTGGCGATGTGATAGT